AGGGAAAGAACCCACTTACAAAACTAAGAACAACCAAATGATTCTAGGTCATAAAAAACCACTGTGGTTCTCCACGCCGGTTAAGAGAGTAGTTCTGAGCTCTGCTGGAGGTGCTTTTCTCCCCTGATTGTCTCTTCTGCCCTGGCCGAAGTCACACAACACAGCCTGTGATTTTCAGGTTGAAAATTTCAATGGCTTCATTCCTGAAAACTTGAAAAATGCTGCCTCTTGTTCTACTATACTTAAATTGGATAATTTGTTGGTTTTTTATAAAAGGTGTGTCTTTTTTCTGTTTTTCATCATGCTTGTATGTCAGTTGCAGGAAAATGTTTTAGACCAGAGATCTTATTATAAATGGGCTAATCAAATGCTCTTTTGTTGGTATTGTTGGCAGTTGAATTCTGTGGTCTGGGTCATGACAGGTGAATCTTTGTAGATAGGATGTGAGTTGGTGTTTGTAGCCTAAGCAGGTACATGGATACAGGCAGTTGGGAGGGTCTTCACTGTCCTCACTGTCCCCTTGCACAGTGATCTTAGAAGGCCCAGTGCAAGCAGAGACCTCGGCTGGGCGATGCAGATGGTTAGGGAGCCTGGGGTTGCCCAGCGTCAGTGGGACCTGAGTGTGGTGGTGTTGTCATCAGCTCAGATGTACAAGGATCCGAGAAAGCTGATTAGTCCAAGGATAGTCATGTTCTGTAAAGAGATTCTTGCTGTGATCATCTGTCTAAATTGTGTTGAGGATAGAGATGTAAACCTTTTTAAAAATTCAGTATTTTGAAAAAATTGATTTATGGTGAAGGTACATGTAATAAATGTGATACAAAGTTAGGAGGTTTTACTAGAAAGCCAAATCTTTGTTTTAAATTAAAATAAAAAGAACCTTTTATTAAAAAGTTTCACAGCAATTTGCATTCTCCAAAGGGTAGATCTAAGTCAGATTCTGGCCCAGCCCTAGATCCAGCCCTAGCTGGGAAATTTCGAGGAGAAATTCAGATAGAAATCATACCCTCCTGTATTTACAGCCTAATGGGTATCTGTTCACTTCCGAAGGTCTTTCCTTCCCTGTAGTTCTTAGTATTTGTCTTGATAAACCAAACCATCTAGGCTCCCATATTTTCTCCATATTATTATGTAAAATTTTAAGCATACAGAAAAGTGGAAAGAAGTCACGTATCCGCATCTCACTACCTCGATTCTATGGCACTTTGCTATATTCACTTTATCACATATTTATCCATCCTTCTATCTTTCCTTCAGTTCATCTTTTTAAAATGTGTTTCAAAGTAAGTTGCAGTCAGTACCTTGTTGCAATAAGCATGCATTGCACTTTGTTTAAGGTGTTCTCTCTGTCTCTCAACTGTTTTGAGATAAGTTTAGACTTGCAGAAGAGTTACAGAAGTATTAGACTTCTCTTAAATCCTTCACGCACGGACTTCCCTGGAGGTCCAGTGGTTAAGACTCCACACTTCCATTGCAGGGGGCACAGGTTCGATTCCTGGTCAGGGAACTAAGATCCCACAAGCCACAAGGCCAAAACAAAAAAAACAAAATCCTTCACCCAGCTTCCCTTATGTGGACAAACTACATAACCGTAGAACAGTTATCAAAAGTAGGAAAGCAGGGGCTTCCCTGGTGGCGCAGTGGTTGAGAGTCTGCCTGCCGATGCAGGGGACATGGGTTCATGCCCCGGTCCGGGAAGATCCCACATGCCGCAGAGCGGCTGGGCCCGTGAGCCATGGCCGCTGAGCCTGCGTGTCCGGAGCCTGTGCTCCGCAACGGGAAAGGCCACAACAGTGAGACGCCCGTGTACAGCAAAAAAAAAAAAAAAAAAAAAATGTAGGAAAGCAATATCGTGGAAATGTTATTAACTGAAGTGCAGTCTCTGAATCTCACCGACTGTTCCACTGCTGTCCCTTTTCTGTTCCAGGATCAAACGCAGGACCCCAGTTTGCACTGAGTTGTCTTACCTCCTCGAGTCTCCACCCTTCTGCAGCAGCTTGTCCCTCTCCCTGTCTTTTAGAACCTTGACACTTTAAAGAGTACTGGTCCGTTATTTTTTAGAATGTCTCTCAAGATGGGCTTGTCTGATGTTTTCTCCTGCTTAGGCTGAGGTTACGTACTGCTGGGAAGGGCAGCACAAGGTGATGTGCCCGTCTACGTGCATCACGTCAGGGGCACATGATGTTGATGTGTCCTGTTACTGGTGACGTGACCTGGATCACTTGGTTGAAGCGGTTGTCTGCTAGTGAATAATAAATATCCTATTCCTGCTTAAACTTCCTCTCACTGATTTTAGCATCTGTTTGTGCATTTTGCCTGCAGCAGTTAGTACTATGCTCTAGCGGTGATTTTCTATTTCCTCATTCTTCCTGTAAGGAATCATTTGTGTTATATTATTATACTTATTGTTGTATTTATAGCCCTTATTTGTATTAGTTATGGACTCGTGGATATTTACTTTATTCTTTGGGTTAGTCAATTACTATTATTTATTTTGCTGCTCATGTTATTCCAACTTTGATCATTGAGAGCTCTTTTCATCCCCCACCCCACCAAAGTGCCAAAGCACTTTCTTACTTTGGGGCACCACAGATGATCCAGGCTTGTTTTTTCCCCTGCACCAGCTGTGGAATCAGTAGTATTTAGAAAATGAGATCTGGGTGTGAGGCGCACCCATTACTACTGAGGTTTCACCTCCTCCAGCTCCCCTCTGGATAGAGCCAGGAAGACTGTATGTATGTGCACCAACCCATACGTACACACGTGATGATTATTTCTCTATCAAAAATCATGAGTTTATACATGTACAGTCGTTTCAAAATTGCTAAACCGTACCCTGTGAGAAGCAAATGTACCAGAGTGCAGTGTTTGTGTACAGCTCTTTTTGTGTTTAGCCTGAGAGTCTCCACTCGAAACAACATTCTTCTCACAGTTACCTAGTTCAGCTCCTTTTTTCACCTCTCTCTCATTGTGGTTAGGTCATGCTTTTGTAATACAGTTAGATTAGTTTTATCACAGTTTGCATTTCATTCTCCCCCACCCACAGTTCCGGATGATATTTTTTTTTTTAGTATATGCATAAAATTCATTCTCTGTTTGCTGCATTGTAGGATGTTTGGCAGCATCTCTGGCCTCTACCCACTAGCTGGTTAGGTCCTAGTAGCACCCCACTCCCCTAGTTGTGACAACCAAAAATGCCTCAAGACATTAGTATGTTGGCAAAACTGCCCCAGTTGAGAACCAGAGATGTGGTTCTCACAGTTTTATTTGTCTAATTTCAGCAGAGAGGTGGAAACTATAAGTGAAAATCAAATAGGAAGTTGTAACTGTTGCATGTTGTCTGCTATTTCCACCAAGGCTTTAACCATAATTAATCATAGTTATTTTAAATGACCTGTCGGATAGTTGCAGCATCTGTGCCGTGTCCAAGTCTGGTTTATTGATTACTTGCTATCTTGATGCAGTGAGCTGGATGTATTGTTTTTTCTTGCTTTTTGTATATTTTATAATTGTCGAAAGCTGGAAATCTTGTGTAGGACAGCAGTTTTATGCCGTGACATGGGCACCTCTTTCCTTCTAGGCGTTTAATGTCGGAGTTTGAGTTAATCTGCTCAAGAGCTGGGCTGGGTTTGAGTTTTGTTGTTGCTGTGATGTCCTCAGTGCACAGCAGGCTTCCAGTTGCTCTGGTGATACTGTGTGTTTAGAGTGGGGCGGGTGCTCCAGAGGATTTTTCCGTGTCTGCCCTAATTTCAGCTTTAGGCTGTCCTTTGCATTGCGTCTCAGGAAGGGCATGTCTCATACTGTCTCAGCAGTTTCAGCTGAGATTTCCTATTCATTTGTTGAGAACATATTTTCCTTTATAATGTTGAACATATTTGCAGTAGCAGGAACATTAGTGTGTTTAGAACTACTCCTCAATGAGCAGAAGTTGGGTATTTAGGCTCCTATTTTTATTTTTTTTAAGAGTCTTTTTTTTTTTAAATTTTTTATTTTATTGTATTTTTTTTGGCCACACCACGCAGCTTGCAGGATCTTAGTTCCCTGACCGGAGATCGAACCCGTGCACCTTGTGGTGGAAGTGCAGAGTCCTAACCACTGGACCGCCAGGGAAATCTTTAGGCTCCTATTTTTATTTTTTTTAATTTATTTATTTATTTATTTATAAAAGATTTTTTGTTGTGGACCATTTTTAAAGTCTTTATTTGTTACAATATTGCTTCCGTTTTATGCTTTGGTTTTTTGGCCCCGAGACATGTGGAATCTTAGCTCCCCAACCAGGGATCAAACCTGCACTCCACATCTTTCCCTGGATATCTTATCGGGTCCTCAAATTGCATGTATCCTCATCTCTTTCCC